CGTGAAGACAAAGTGGCTTATCAGCAAAACGGCTTGTAAGCAAAAACAAAGAGCTCCCAAATAAGAATATTACCATCATCCGCAAAGTGAAGCACGGTATCCCCCTACTCCACATGACAGTCGCAGTGGCACAGAGGGCTAAAGAAGTAGTCACTACTCTGAGGATGCAGTACGCCCTGACCTTCCAACAAAAATTCCGCCAGTGTTAGATACTCACATCCATTGTCCTCTAATTACAACACTTACTGAAATCAAGTTAACTGCCACATCTGTGCTGAAGAAACCGCTCACACTGTGCGCCTGAAATCCACTGGGAATCGATGCCATTCACCAGAGGACGCTGAGCGTAGCAACAACCACGATGGCATAGTCACTACAGCTTTTCTCCCAAGCATGGCTGCCATGTTTTCACATGGCTTAATCACGCCCATTTTTGAAGGTGACAGTCGCTCGGAACCTGCAAACTATCACCCGGTGGTCCACTCTCTGTACTCACGAAGGTGATGGGGCCAATCATTGCTGAAGACTTAGTCGACCATATGGAACACTACAAAATCATAGCACCGCCAACATCGCTCATGCACAACCAAACGACTGAGTACAAGCAGCAACAGTTGGGTGGATGCGGTGGACAAAGGAATAGGGACCGACGTTATTTACCTCAACTTCTCCAAAGCCTTCGACCGCCTGGACCTTCGACTTCTGTTGCACAAGCCCGAAAGCTATGGAGTTGGAGATTCTGTCCCTTGGTGGATCAGATTTTCTTACAAAATCGGCAACTACAGGTTAGAGTTCGAAGTGCGCTGTCCGATCCGATTCATGTCAAATGTGGGTTCCACATTGATCAATTCTGGGACCGCATCTGAAAGCCTGTGATTACTTGTTGTTCGCTGATGATGTTAACATGTGGCTGGCAATCGCCGATCAAGGGGATCACGATGCATCTCAGTGAGACGTGAACAGTGCGTATGAATGATGATTGCACAAGCTGCTTCAGTTTAATTCATCCCAATGTAAGGTGGTTCACTTTCGTCATCAGCCGAATATCACACGCAAGTTTGAAGCCCATAACCTGCAAGCAGTCACGCAGAAGCGCGACCTTGAGGTATTAATCCAGACTGATTTGGGCTGCTCAGAATAACCTGAGAAGGCATCAAAAGCTGGAAACCAACACGGTGACATGCTGCGGAGGGCATTCTGACAGTTTGATCCATCTGTCTGTTCGTAGTTGCTTAACTCATACCCTCGGCCTCATGTCGTATACGCAATCAAGGCCTAGCCTGGAACACTGGCACAAGCAAAACCTCGCAGTGCTTGAGACTCCACAGCAAAGAGCCACTAGGCACATCAAAGGGTTGTTTCGCCTTCAATATAAAATTGGGCTGATGACTGTAAAACGCTATATCGACTGGCATCTGGGCCTACGTGGCTACCTCATAACTGCCTACCAGATTCTGCGGAACCCCGACCACGTCCGCCGCTACCTATTGGAACTCATCGCAACACGAATTTGAGGGGCCACGCAATACAATCGGCTAGAATGTCGGTGAAACCTTTGCTGTCTTCGTGTGTATCAGCCATGAAAGGCCCACCCAAATTACGTTGTTTCCAACCCCCTTGAGGTTACCTTAACCCAACTACATTACGTGATATAGCCTGTGTAGATCGAGACAATATAGTGTGACGATCATTACACATCCAGTATTAACCTACACAATGGAGTATGGATCTTTGCTGCACGCCTCTGTGAGAAAACTGTGGTGAGTCCACCAAAAGGATAAGTATTGTATCATTCTGCTTTCTATGCACCACGTTTTGGTTCCCATTCTGGCCATCTTATTGGAGTTGTTAAGCAACTGCTTTTGTTACCCATAATGTACCATTGTTCCATTGGAATTATCTAGGGTGTTGGGGCAGCGTGGAAGTGGAAGTATCACCCCAAGCTCAATCTCACCGCACTTGGTTACCAGAACCTAAGCTTTTCAGAGATCAACTAACGTTGGATTTCTTCAACGCGCCTAGTCTGCAAACCCCACATAAGAGCTGCAGGTTCAACGCAACCCATCTTTCGTCAGCACAGATGACAGGCTGACACACAACGTCCGAATCAAGTCCTTCTCATGACGCAACGAACCACCAGTGAGTGTCCTGATGGTTTGAAATTCTCCAATGTAATTTGGGAATCCTTTAAAGCGTTGCTGAGTATTGACTTCATGTGGGCAATGTCAACGGAAAGATTGTTTACCACAAGGTAAAGAAAGTCTAATGATTAGTAAACCTCGCAGGTTGGTCAGCATGAAAACCGTAAAATAAAAACTGTGCTTGTATATAATATAAGGCGCCTCGTTTGACCTGTGGTGTTCACTTGAGCAGCCGCACTTGAACTCGGCTCTCGCTGTGCCCTCTGTGGCCACTCTAATTCTCCCACATAATATGGTGCGTGCACTCGTTCGAACCAGTTCGATGAGCTCTACTCAGTGCTTCCCAACTCTGGGATCTAACCTGTGTGAATTATACTCTTGCTCCAGTTTCCAGTTTTCGGCATATTCTTTGCCGAGTTCCACGTGTTTAATGACATCAGACCGGAGTTTTGCCGGAAAGATTTTGGTCGCATTCGGAAGAAGATGATGAGGGCCCCCAAAAAACGCGGCAAGCATCCCTGTAAGTTGCAGCGTAACAAAGTTGCAGTCAATTTGCTCTGCTCGTCAGCTGAAAAGCTCTGTGGACGCTTATCAGCGCTCCACCTGCATTGTCGCGTAAGGCAGACCGATTAACACGCGCTGCCGCTTTGTGTGGGTGTGTGTGTTCCACTGCGAGTCGATTGCTCGCTGAACCCGACAGTCTGCGCATTACGACCACCATCTGCCTCTACAGCCTGACATTGGTGAGTTTGAACAACCCTCAATTCGTATGCGTGTTTTGCCGTGTTTGTGCATCACGCCTGGCGAAAAGAACACTCATCAAGGTGAGCGCTCAGATAGGCCTTGCTGCAAACGATAAGAGGATGACTAGCATTCCAATGGTTCAGCGTTGCCTATGTCGCGCAGACAATTGTAGTAAAATCCCTAAGCTCGGAGTAACCTGTTCTAGCTGCATTAGGTCGTACTGTCCGCAACGTGTAGGCAAATCCGTCCAAGAAGTGAAACAGACAAATAAAGTTGCTGACACAATTTGGTTTTGCCCAACATGTCCAGTTATTCCAGTTGTCAACAGTTTATCTTTGCTCATGAAAAACTGCGATGGGATGATTGAGATAATCGCGCGTTTTTTAAATACTAAGATCGATTCCACGGAGGTAAATATGGCCACAATACTAGCTCAACCAGCCAAAGTGAACTCTGAATCTAGGCCGAAGAAAATAGCTAGACGCTCCAACCGCACTGCAGCATCTGTGATTCTAAATCCACTGGGTCACCAAATTCCCATAAGTGGACAAACCTCAAACATGCCTGCTTCCGCTTCTCCAACCATAGACGCTTCAGCTGGAGATTAAGCCATGACACCCACAGCTCAGAGCCGAGGGTAATCCGGTGCAGATAACAAGCAGGTAACCTACGCATCGCTTGCCTCGACGAACACACCGGAAGCGACACACATAGGTCCATCTTCTGTGCCAAGCACACGTGGAGCAACGCAGCTTTCCCAGTCAACTCCAGTGCTGCCTTCTAAACAGCCCAAATTGCCGGCAAAAGTATAAAGCCGACACTCGCTATACAAAACCATACCGCGTTAACTCTCGTGTGCACCAATGTTCCCGAGTCCAAATCTGGTTCAAGAAAAGGTAAGTTGCAAGACGATCGCAAACAGTGGAGTTCCATCTGTGATGCGCTTGGTATTCGGGTTGCACCTGCAATGCTGCAACGTGAAGCGCGTCACCCGACCTCAGTGCACTAGACTCAGCAGATGAGACAGAGGCTGTCCTGCTCTCAACAGTTCCTCTTCGCAACTCACCGAGCGGAGTGCGCATATTACCCGATCTACCTTGTAAAGATCACCCAAAACAAGCAGTTGACCAACGCGACCTTCCTAATAGGGATAGTAAGCAAAAAGACTTGTTCACGGTATTCCCTAGCCTCTGCACTCATCTGATCACGATGCGCAAGCACATGACCGAGAGTAGTGGTGCTACATCCGCGAAGCACTCTTTGTGGACAATGTTATTGCCAAATCCTTGAGAAGAATTCCATCATCTCCTAACTACAAGGGCTGCGGTCCAAGACTAATGAAAGTAATATCGCACTCCGAGGGAATGACGTAAGTTCTGTTGGATAGCTGCTAAAAGTTTCCAGCCAGATTGTCAATACAGATCCGGCTAAAGGCAGCAGGAGAACGGCCAAGAGTTATAAGCAAGTAGGTGGAACTTGCAAATGCTGCAAATACTTTATCTACACAGTCGTGCGGAGAGACCAACAGAAAGCACCCACGGCACACAACAGGACAGAACACAGCACGAGTGAAACCGGCTGTTCAGGAACACTCAATGCTGCCATGCAACTTAACTGAAATGCATAAACCAAAAGACGATTAATGGCCGGCCACCTAGCGACCAGCTTAAAATTTAACACAAAGTTGACATCCATCAACGCATTCCTAACAACAAATCCCTATCTTGCATGTACACAATCCCCAAGGCCTTCTAAGTAAGTCGGCTGAACCTAGAGAATTCCATGCCTCACAACCGCGGGACCTCGTCATGATTACAGAGACCTGGTTAAACCTTGAGATCAATTTACCCGGAATGTCACTGCTTCGGAAAGATAGAACAGGAAGAAGTGATGTGAAGTTATCCATCACCCAAAAATCCGAGCTCCTAATTCGCTTTGGTGCCGCCTATGATTACGAA